CCCTCAGAGCGACAGCTGCAGCAGTGGGAGACAAAGGAGGAGGAGGAGCAAAGGGAGGAATGCAGAAGTGCCACCCCCATACTCGCCACCCCCTACTCGCCACTCCCCAAACCCTAACACAGGCAGGGCGGGATGGCGGGTAGGGAGGTTACGGGGGAGGGGGGGGGGGGGGGGGGGGGGGGGAACGACGCGCGGCCTCCCAGGGCGCCAAGACAGGCAGCAGAAGGGGCGGCGCTCGCCCCCCTCCCCCAGGTAAGCGGCCCCCGAGGGAGCCGCGACGGGCGACGGGAAAAGGGGGCCGCAGGCGGGGGCCGGGGCCGGGGCGCAGGTAGGGCGATGGGGCCGGGGCGCAGGTAGGGCGTCGGGGCCGGGGCCGCAGCGGGGCCGGGGGCCGGGGCGCAGGTTTAGGGCGACCGGGGCCGAGGCGCGTGCCCTCGGTGCGCCGCGACGGGTCCCCGTCGCCCGTCACGGCGCCTCCAGAGGGCGACGCGGCGAACGACGGGGCAGAAGCCCGCCGCGCGCCTCGGGGCGCACAGCGGGCAGAGAACCGCCGCACGCCTCGGGGCGCACGGCGGGCAGAAAACCGCCGCGCGCCTCGGGGCGCACGGCGGGCAGAAAACCGCCGTGCCGCCTCGGGGGCGCACAGCGGGCAGAAAAACCGCCGCGCGCCTCGGGGCGCACGGCGGGAAGAAAAAGTGCCGCACACCAGGGGGCGTGCGGCTCAGAGAGTAGTGAAAGGTAGTTGCAGCGGAAGCGAGGAGGTGGTAACCCACCCACAGGATCGATCCAAGGGGATCGACCTGCTCTGATAGCATATCAAAATACTAGCTTGGTAGGTAGGTGAGAGAATAGGACGGCCTAGGCTTAGTAGCCTAGGCCAACGAGTTCGAGTAGTTCGTGCCAAGGGTGAGAGTTGAGTGAGTTGGAAAAGTGTTTTGCATTGGAAAGTTTCAAGACTTATACAAGGAAAGCAAATGGAATTGGTGCACCACCTACAAAGCACAATAACTACACTACAACTACAAGCAGTTATAAAATATGTCAATCATATTTCGACACGCCCCCATAAGTGCGTGTAGGTAGAAGTATAGTTACGCCCCCTGAGGGGGTACACCATGCAAAATAATAACAAGCAACAGCAGGTACTGCAGGCGGGCTAACTCTGGATGGTCACCCCCTCCATCTCCTCACCCTCCTCCTTCCCCTCCCCCACACTGCTGCAGGAGCAGCAGAGAGGGGGGGAGAGAGGAGAGGTGGAGGGACGGCTGCTGGTTGCCTCACACCCGCCACCCTGGTGCCAATCCCCCTTCTCCCCACACCCTCACACCCTCCCCCCAGCGGCAACTGCAGCAGTGGGAACGAAAGGAGGAGGAGGGGAAGGGAAGGAAACGACCGAAAGCTCCAACACCCGCCACCCCCATACCCTCCACCCCACGGCTGCAGGGAGACAAAGGAGGAGGGGGTGGGCGGGAAGAAAGCCACAGAGCGGCTACAACTGTGTCGGGGCAGGTAGGTCAGGGGCGGCTGCAGGGAGAGCAGGTGCGGAGAGGCCCGTCGCGTGCCACGGGGCGCACGACGGGTAAGTTTAAGTTTAGGGCCCGGTCGTGTGCCTCGGGGCGCACGACGAGCAGGGCACCGTCGCGTGCCACGGGGCGCACGACGGGCAGGTTTAGGGCACCGTCGCGTGCCACAGGGCGCGCGACGGGCAGAGGAGGAGTCACTCGCCAACCGGGGGCGGGACAAGACGAAAATCGCCACGCGCCCTAGGCGCGCGACCGGGAAAAATAGCAGCGGAAGCATATTGGCGGGCCCACAGGCCAGGACGTAAATCGCTCTGATAGCATGATAAAGTTTAGAAGAGAGAAGAGTGATTGCACTAGCAAGAATGGGGATACAAATAGCAAACCCTAGAAGGGTTGTACTCGCTATAGAGCACCCCACTACAGGCTAGAGCATAAGATAACATTCTGACAGGCAGGGTGTCGCCAACGTCTCACTGGTGCGGGACGAAAGCCCAAGTACCCCGATATGGAGGTTGCGGTCTACCGCAGGTTCCTGTTGCACCGTAGGAGAGGCCTGCCGGTTTCCATGAGTTTGCTGCAGAGTTGGGCGGCGACCTACATGAAGCATCGCCACCCCCAGGCGAAGTGGTGTTCGTCCCACCGTTGGACAAAGCGGTTCCGCAGGCGGTGGTCACTAGCGCAGCGCGTGAAGACAAAGATTGGGTAGAACCTCGCTGCAGGTACCTTGACCTCGGCCTACCCAATGTTTTCAGATGTCAAGTCCGTACCATATCCACCTGGCCTAACACCCCCTTATCCCGTGCGATGCAGATTGCAAGCAGAGGTGCGAGGCCTTTTGGGAATTCGTGAGGCAGATGCGCGTGCTCAACTCCTACCCCTTCAACCTGATCGTGAACGCGGATCAAACACCCCTGTTCCTTGAGATGCCTGCCGAGCGCACCCTCGAGATGAAAGGTGCTCGGACCGTGCACGTGCGCACCGCGGGGTACGAGAAGCAGCGCACCACGGTCATGCTGGCGGTGACCGCGGGTGACTTGAAGCTCCCTCCTTATGTGGTCTTCAAGCGGAAGACCTTGCCGAAGATCCCTATACCCTGAGGTGAGCTGTGACTTACCGGATGTTATGCCGAAGTTTGGTGAAGGAATTCCACCGCTAATGTTTCTTTTTTGTTGTGCAGGTGTTGTCCTGCGAGCCCAGGAAAAGGGCTGGATTGACGAGAACCTTGTCCAAGACTAGACAACGAAGGTTCTCGTCCCCTTCCTAAAGCCGCACCGCGAAGAGGAAAGGCACCGCAAGGATGCGCTCCTCATCCTCGACTCCTACCGAGGGCACACCACGGAAGCAGTCGGCCAGACGATGAAGCTGTTCAAGCTGACGCGGTGGTGATCCCTGGCGGTTGCACCTCGCTGGTACAGCCCTTGGACGTTTCGGTGAACCGCAGCTTCAAAGCCGGGATCCGCCACCGCTACTCCACGTGGTCCCAGGACGAGGGGATTGACTCATTCACCCCTGCAGGTGAGCACGTGAGTTGTACCCGTTTCACTGTGTACCTTGACCGCGTGGTGACTCAGGTCTGCCCCTACCCATGACATTTCCCGCAGGGAGTTTGAAGAAACCTCTCCCGGAGAAGGTTCTCTGCTGGATTGCGTAGGCATGGGCCGACGTCCCAGAAGATTTGATTAAGAAAGCCTTTGTAACCTGCGGCATCTCCACCGCCGTTGACGGAAGTGAGGATCATCTGATCCTCGCTCACCTCCGCGATAAGGCGGGCGTGGAGGTGCTGGAGGATGTGTGCGAGGAGCTCGAAGAGCTCATCCCCAACCCTTTCTACCCTGACCCTGCTGCCCCTTCCAGCAAGGACAGGGATGCTGCCTCCTCTCCATCTGAGGAGGAGGAGGGGACGGAGGAGGAGGAGGAGGAGGAGGAGGAGGAGGAGGAGGAGGAGGAGGAGGAGGAGGAGGAGGAGGAGGAGGAGGAGGAGGAGGAGGAGGGGGACGAGGAGGAGGACGAGGAGGGTGAGGAGGGTGAGGAAGAAGGCAGTGCGGAGGTGGAGGGTGGAGTGGGTGAGGAGGATGGCGATGAGTGGTGGGCAGAAGGGGCGATATGATGGGGAGGAGGCAGAGATCTGGGTTGCTGGCCAGGATTAGATTGATAATGGGCATATGCATGAGCGTTCATGGGTGTGATGGCTCTACCTGAACATCGAATATGACCATTTTCTATTGCATTCACTGAAAATACGCCCTTTTCTAGGATGGGTCTTATAACGTCATGAGCCATTTAGGGGGGTATAACTCGGATATACTCAAATAGAGTACCTGTGAAGAATGAGGAATGAATAAACTAGCACAAGGTTGGGTACAAGTAGGAAACCCTAGGAAACTGTAGCCCATAGTGTCTACCCCACTATAGCCTAGACAAGCTATATGATATGAGTTTGACACACCCCCATAGGCTAAGTGGGGGAGAACAAGAGGTCACAAGACCAGTCAAGCAAAGCAAAGCAAGCTCAGGGTGGATCACAACGTCACCACACAATCCGAGCACAAGAGCAAGGCCACAAGGCCAGTTCACATGCAAGATGATATATAAAGGTAAACAGGCAAGTGCAGGTGTAGAAAGATCACAGTACAAGCAAGGTCAAGAAGTGAGCAAGTGAGGCCAAGTAGGCACAAGACCTAGCATAGTACAGAAGCGCTGATGATCACCAGGCGGAAGTGCCTTGGTAAAGATATCAGCAGTGTTGGCCTCAGAGGCCACGTAAGCAAGGCGCAGCTGACCACGCTGCTGCAGCTCACGAGCAAGGAAGTAGCGGAGAGCAATGTGCTTTGTTCGATGCTCCAGTCTGTGCTCCCGACACAAGGCCAGCATGGCCTTGTTGTCTACGTACAGAACTGGAGGAGAACAAGGCAGCTCTACTGGAGCCGAGAACAGAAGACGAGCGGGTAGACCGCCACGAAACAGAGCCGGAGCCAAGGCTGAAGGTGTAACCCTGTGACGACCGCTGCGTAGCCTGGTCGTCAGCCCAAGAAGCGTCTGCGTGACCTGTGAGGACCACTCGACGTCGCCCTCCAAGCACTAGCCCCATGCCCGACGTACTGCACAAGTAGCGCAACACCCTCTTCGCTGCAGCCATGTGCTCTGGTCTGTGTCTCCTAGGAGCAACATAGCGTGCCAAGATGCTAAGAGGGTATGCAAGGTCAGGTCGTGTGCAGGTCATCAAGTACATGAGGCAGCCAACAAGCTCTGGGTACGGGCCACTCGGCTCTACGGACTCATCCGAAGGCAGAAATGAGAGCGAGTGGCGAGGACCAAGTCGTCGACGTACACGAGGAGGTAGAACGGCGGCAAAGAGGTGTCGATGCGCAGAAACAGCGACGGGTCGGCTGTAGAAGGAGCAAACCCAAGAGCCGCAAGTGTAGTCCTCAGTGTGTCGTGCCACTCACGGGGCGCCTGGCGGAGACCGTAGACTGGCCGCTAGAGGCTCCACTGGGTACCAGGAGGAAACGACCCAGTGAAGCCAGGTGGGCGGCGCAGCCAGATCTCCTCGTGCAGGCTGCCGTGCAGGAAAGCTGTGCTGAAGTCAAGAGAGTGAAGCTCGTAGTCGCGGTGAGCGGCTATGTGCAGCAGCACCCGAAGAGTGGTCATCTTCGGGGTGGGAGAGAAGGTCTGAAAGTAGTCAACTCCCTGCCGCTGACTGAAGCCTCGAGCCACGTAACGCGCCTTGAAGACAGGCGGAGAACCCGGCGGTTGCTACACCCTGAAAATCCACATGCCACTGACGATGTTCGCCCCAGGTGGGGGAACCTCGTCGACATAGGTGCCTGTGGACTTCCAGGATGCCATCTCTGCGTCCATGGCTGACTGCCACTGTGAGGAGTAGGGATCCTCGATCGCCTCTGCGTACGATCGAGGAGTCGGGATGTCTGGTGCATCCGGGTCTCCCTCAGGGGCAATCAGCGTGGACACGAGATGAGGCAATGCAGCAGCAAAATACTGGAACTCCTCCTGCCTGTCCTCAAGGACGTCCGTGCTAAGAGCACACTCACCCCCAACGGACAAAGGATAGACAGACTCAGACTCAGCAACAAGACTAGCAGCGTAGTCTAGACGACAGCGAGCAGCAAAGTCGACAAGCTCAGCAACTAGGGTCAACGCAGCAGTGGACTCAAAGGAAGGGTCAGTGACAACAGTGGCCAGGAAACGCGTGACAGTAGGACTGGCAGCACGAAGAGAGTCAGACTCCGGGTCAGCAAGGACAGGAAGAGAGGACTCTGGAGGAGACGGCAACGGGACACGCAGAGGAGCAGTGGAAGGACGCAGTGCCATCTGGTGTGTGCCTGGGACCGCAGGAGGACGCGGACGCAGAGCACGACGACTAGTGCGAGCAGTACGAGCAGGCGACTCAGGCTCACGACGCTCAGCAAGACCTCCAGTAGGACCAGTGTAGGGAGAAGGAGCAGGCAGGGGGGAGGCGGGCTGTGACTGTGACCGCGACTGGACAGGCTGTGGACACTCTAAGGGAGGAGCAGGACCAGTGGAGGGCGGGAGACCAAGAACCTAATCAAGGAGCCGAATGAAGAACGACCTCGGCCGCGCAGCGCCTCCAGAACTAGCAGGGACAGCACCAGTACCACCAGCGGCAGCACCGGCGCCAGCAGCACCTCCAGCTCCAAGAGCGCCAACTCCAGCACCCTCAAACGCACCAGCGCCAGCAGAACCACCAGCACCAACACCCCCAGCAGCTCCAGCTCCAGTAGCTCTAGTAGCTCCTGCAGCACCAACTCCAGTAGGACCGGCAGCTCCAGTACCGCCAGCACCTCCAGCAGTACCTCCAGCAGGACTAACTCCAGCAGCCCCAGTAGCACCCCCAGCCCCAGCAGCTCCAGTACCGCCAGTACGAGCACCTCTGGGACCAGCAGCAACAGTAGTACCTCCAACTCCAGTAGCACCACTCCAGCGCCGGGCAAACCACTCGCGCAATCCTGCGAAGAGAGTAGCTCCCGCCTCGACGAAGCACCGCGAGAGGCTACACGAGCAGACCCAGCACCCCCAGGCTCCGCACCCTCAGGCTCAGCACCCCGAGGCTCAGCACCCCCAGGCTCAACACCCCCAGACCTTGCACCCCCAGGCTCAGCACCCCCAGACTCAGCACCCCCAGACTCAGCACCCCCAGGCTACGCACCCTCAGGCTCAGCACCTCCAGACCCGGCACCTACAGGCTCAGCACCTCTAGCAGCACCAGAGTCAACAGCTACCTCGACAGGCTCGACTGCGTCTACTTGGGACACAGGTGACGCGGCAGGACCTTGAGGGGCAAGGGGTCTACCGGGGGAGGACCTGGCGCAAGGAAGAGTGGCGGCGGGGGGAGGGGCGCAGTGCGGTAGGGGAAGAGACGGTAGTAAGGCACCGACTCATCAAAGTTGACGTCCTAGGAGGACAGAACACGGCGCGAGGTGGGGTGGTAAAACTGCCACCCAGGCGCGTCAGGGGGGAAGCCAAGGAAGACACAGGGAACAGCACGGGGGGACAGCTTGTCCGCAGACAAGTCGCGAACAAACGCCCGAGATCCCCAGACCCGAAACGCAGACGCATCGCCAACCTTCCCCGTCCACCGCAGAGTGGGGGAGGTCTCTGGCAAGGAGACCCGGGGGTGGAGGTTGAGCTGATGCGCTGCGTACTGAACCGCAAACGGCCATAGAAAATGGGGGCCAGCCGCATGGATCATGGACGTACGAGCGACGTCCATGACCATGCCAATGCGGCGCTCAGCAATCCCATTTTGCTGTGGAGAGGCCGGAAGCGTGAAGGTCTGGCGGATGCCCTGTGCTCGACAGAAGGCTCCCAGATGGGCAGAGGAAAACTCCCCACCTCTGTCAGAGTGCAGACACAGAACAGGAAAGTCCGAGCCGAAACTCTCTTTGAGCTGGAGACGAGCTGCGCGGATCCAGTCGATCAACACCTCAGTGACGTCGCCCTTGCTGCGCAAGGGGAAGACTGTGCTGTAACGCGAGTAGTCGTCAACCACCAACAGGAAGTAATGCTCGTGCCCCTGGCCACGGACGCAGGCGGGGCCCCACACGTCCATGTGAAGAGTCTGCAGCGGAGCCTCTGTCGGAGGAAACTCGGAGGAGTGAGGGGCGGCGCGCTGTCGCCCCTCGACGCAGGGGACGCAGGAAGGGGCAGGCCCCGGAGGTAGTGGAGGGAGGGACCGGGGGAGACCAGAGACAAGGACACGGGAGGCAATGCCTCGGAGACGAGGCAGGGAGGGGTGACCAAGGCGGTGGTGCCAAAGGAGAGTCTTGTGGGACAGGAGACGACACGAGCAGGGAGCAGACTCAGGACCAGACCTGGACGCTGCAGCAAACACCTGACTCGACGGAGCTACCTGACCAGACTCAGCAGCCGGAGGAGACTTAGTAGTAAGTGTGTACAGGCTCGACCCCGGCCGACGGGTGAACGTGGCCAAGTGTCGGCCTGTCCGAGCACACGTGCAGTGGGTCACCCGCTGACCCGCAGGAGTGAACTGGTCAACCCCCCTATCCTGTAGGTCAACTCCACTCACCAAGTTCGTAGAGAACGAGGGGAGGTAGAGACGGGACAGGGTGCCAGAGGGGGCTGCTGGGCATGGTAAGACAGTGGAGAAGCTAGCAAGGACAGGACCCCCAGAGGGGTTTGCCAGGGAGACTTCAACCGGCCGACTAAGTGGCGTAAGCGTGGTGCGGTCTCGAAAAAAGGAGCGGGAAGCACCCGAGTCAAGGGTGAAGGTGTGTAAGGCCTGTGACGTAGTACCTGAGAGAGCAGACTCACCAGCACATGGGGCAGCAGATGCACTAGCACCTAGAGCAGCAACCTCAATGCCCGGGTCAGGCGGAACACACAGGTAACAGTCACCCTCATCACTATCAGACACAGCATACATGGCAGCAAGAATAGCATCATAATCAAGATCAAAGATAGCAAACCCCGCCCTAGACAACTCTCCCCGGCGAGGGTTCTTTGAGGCCTCAGGGAACTGGTGACGCCACGCGTCCGTCAGGCGGCCGAAGCAGTGCTGGGTGGAGTGCGGGCCCCCGCACTGCTCACCAGAGCGGTCGCCGGTACGGAGGACGTAGGTGCAGGGACCAGTACCCCCACCACGCTGACGCGCAGCGTACTACTCATGAAGCTGCTGAGGGGACAGGGTCTCACGACTCCGCTTCTGCTGCTGGCGTGGACCACCACCGGAGCCACTCCTCTGCGTAGAGCCACGACCAGCTCCACCGCTGCCGCCGCCGCCTCCGCCACCTCCGCCGCCTCCGCCACCTCCGCCGCCTCCGCCACCTCCGCCGCCTCCGCCACCTCCGCCGCCTCCGCTCCCTCCGCCACCGCCGCCGCCTCCGCCGCCTCCACTACTGCCACCGACACCTCCACCCCGCCACCACTCCCACCACCACCCCCACCCCCTCCACTGCTTCCACCACCACCTCCATTGCCCTCGCCAGCCCCTCCAGCGCCCTTGCCCCCCTTGCCCTTGCCGGTGCGGCATCTCCCGCTAGGGGCAGACGCAGCGCCGACCGACTCGAAACCAACGAGGTTGACCGCAACAGCAGAAGCAACAGAGGGCAAGAGGGGGGAGGGTGAACACCCCTCAAAGACGGGGGTGCGAGGGTCACCACGAGAGGCTCCTATAGCGACTATGCTCTTCTCTGCTGCTAGGAGGCGCTCCTCGAGGAGGTCAACGGTGAGTGTGGTGGGGCAAACTGAGAGGAAGTGGTCCCTGACTAAGCGAAGGGAGTCAGGGAGGCGGGTGACTATGTAGTAGAGGGTGATGTACACGGGGGGGGGGGGGGGGGGTTCTTGGCACAGAACTCAGCAGGAAGCGCAGCGCGGTAGCGAGTGTCACTAGTGCGAAGGTGCGTAATGAGGTCAGCGACTGTGGGAAAGGCAGCAAGGTCAGGGAACAGGTACGGCAGCATGAGGCGGCTAAGCGCAGGAGTGGCAGGGGAGGAGTAGCGTGCAACTACAGCGTCGTACAAGGTCTTAGCACTCTTGTACTGACTAAAGTGCGCACGATCAGTGGTCGGTAAGTGGCGACGCACAGCAAGGCGGGCAGCAGCATCGCGTGTGGCCCACTGTGAGCGAACAGTGCTGTCAGCAGTAGCAGGCGGGGCAGGAGAGACACCAGAGGTGAGATCGAACAGAGAGAGTCTGTCTGCCCTATCGCACTGTAGGAACAGCTGGAGGTCATCGACCAAGACCTCAAAGTCAACAGCACGACCCTTAGCATCAAAGGTAAGGACACTGGGGGTAGCCATGACTGCAGCGGCCTAGAAGGGAGTGATCTCACCAGTCCGAGTAAGTAGGGCCGGGGCGCGCCGGTAGGAGCAGTAGGGGCTCGACGGCAGGGCGGCTCGGCGGCTCGGCTGTTGGGCGGCTCGGCTGCTGGGCGGCTCGGCTGCTGGGCGGCTCGGCGGCTCGGTTGCTGGGCGGCTCGGCGGCTCAGCTGTTGGGCGGCTCGGCTGCTGGGCGGCTCGGCTGCTGGGTGGTTCAGCGGTGAAGGGGCCGGTTGAGGCGGCGATGGGGCCGCTAGGGGCGGCGACGGGGCCGCTAAGGGCGGCGAGGTGGCCGCGAAGGTGCGGCGACGGGGCTGCGAGGGGTGGCGACGGGGCCGCAGAGGGGCCGCAAGGGGTCTAGAGGGGCGGCGACGAGGCCGCGAAGGGGCCATAAGGGGCCTAGAGGGGGCGGCGACGGGGCCGCAAGTGGTGGCGACGGGGCCGCGAAGGGGCCGCGAGGGGCCTAGAGGGGCGGCGACGGGGCCGCTATGGGCGGCGATGGGGCCGTGAAGGGGCTGCGAGGGGCCTATAGGGGCGGCGACGGGGCCTAGAGCGGCGGCGACGGGGCCGTGAAGGGGCTGCGAGGGGCCTAGAGCGGCGGCGACGGGGCCTAGAGCGGTGGCGACGGGGCCATGAAGGGGCCGCGAGGGGCCTAGAGTGGCGGCGACGGGGCCTAGAGCGGCGGCGATGGGGCTGTGAAGGGGCCACGAGGGGCCTAGAGGGGCGGCGACAGGGTCGCTAAGGACGGCGACGGGGCCGCTAGGGGTGGCTCGAGGGGCCTCTAGGAGGGCGCGACGTGAGGGCGGCCTACGGGGCACGCCTCCGGCAGGAAAAAAAGATCGAGTTAGGTGGTGGGCCCTGAGAAGCGTTCCCACGAGGGAACCTGCTCTATACCATGTGAAGAATGAGGAATGAATGAACTAGCACAAGGTTGGGTACAAGTAGGAAACCCTAGGAAACTGTACCCCTAAGTGTCTACCCCACTATAGCCTACACAAGCTATATGATATGAGTTTGACAGTACCCACCCCCCCCCGTATTATAGACCTGGGGGTTTACAACTGGAGGGGGTCTTATATACAGGGGTTTACGGTAGGTCAGGGTTGACGTGTTAAAAAAGTGGGACTTCAATATTGACCCTAGTTTCCTTTATATTTTATTTGAACTGTTTTGTGTGTTAGAGAATGAAGATTGTGCCAGAATGGGGAACATAACAACTGTCAGAATCCCAACCACTAGACCATTGGGATAAAAGGGCTTGTTTCAGTAGCGGGTCAGTGCGCCCATAACCCCCCAGGCAAACGCGCCTGTAACCCCCCCTAGGATCGATCGGGGATCTCACAGTGTAGCTCTACTGACACCCCCCCACACTGGGAGGCCCAGGACTGAGCACAGTGGCAACGACCAACATGTGCATACACCGGGATTCGAACCCGAGACCGCTCTGATACCATGTCAGAATCCCAACCACTAGACCATTGGGATAAAAGGGCTTGTTTCAGTAGCGGGTCAGTGCGCCCATAACCCCCCAGGCGAACGCGCCTGTAACCCTCTCCAGGATCAATCAGGGATCTCACAGTGTAGCTCTACTGACAACAACAACCCATACCTCTACATGCAACCCAACTAAACCTAACAAAGCACTCCAACAACCTGTACAAGTGTACATTGACACACCCCATAGGCTAGGTGAAGGGCGGTGCCAAGGTGATGAGAAACAACTCAGAGCTGCACTACAGTAATCCCCCGAAAGACTTCCTTGAAATAGAAAACCCTCAGGTAGCTAACACGCGGGGGAGGGGAGGGGGGGGGGGGGGGGGGCTGTACCAAGCCTCGAATTCGAGGAATGATGGGTGCATGCGCAAATGAGCGGGAAGGCGAAGGCGGTATGCGACTGGAGCAAGTGCGCTCGATGACAAATGGACCAATGAAACGTGGACGAAGATTGTTGTCCTGCGGCAGTTGGAGGTTGCGGCTATCCAAAAGGACATGGCTGCCGACTGCAAACGACACCTCACGACGACTACGGTTGGTGGTGCGTGCCATGCCTGCATTTGCGAGCTCAAGGTGCTTCCTCATGTGATCGTAAATGAAGGTGAGATCTGGTGGAGATTGTCAACACATGGGACTGTGGGTGTGAGATCGACACGAGAGGGGACATTAGGGTGCTGACTGTATAGTGCAAAATTTAGTGATATGCCTGTGGCGGAATGATGCGTGTTGTTGTAAGCGAACTCGGCCATGCTCAGCTTCTTGTCCCATGCTGCTACGTCATGCATCGTGATGATGCGAAGAATCTATTCCAATGTCTGGTTCACGCGCTCGGTCTATCCGCCTGTCTCAAGATGGTACGCTGAAGACATGGCTAAGCGAGTCTAAAAAGTGCAAAAATCTGCTTCCAGAACTTCAAGGTGAAACGAGTGTCGTGGTTGGAAATGATGGAATCCAGAGCCCCGTGCAGTCGGACTCTGTTATCTACGAACAGCGCTGCGGCTTCCTCTGCCGTGACTTTGCCATATAGGGGGATAAAGTGCGCTGCTCGAGAGAACTTGTTTACTACCACGAAGATGGTGTCGTGACCCCTAACTGTGTGCGATAAAGCCATGTTGAAATCTATCGTAACTACCTGCCAAGGACGGTCGGGTGGTGGAATCGGCTGCAAACGTCCTGCTTTGCGCTGGCGAGAGGACTTCATACGTCGCACGAGCGAATGTGATCCTCTACGTCTGCCGCAAGCCCTAGCCTAAAGTACGTGCGACTAAGCGTCTTAACCGTCTTATCTACTCCGAAGTGACATGCACTAACTACGTCGTGTGCCTCGGAAAGAAGGAGCTGTCGAAGAGGGAGGTAGCTGGAACCCGAATTCGTGTTGTACCCTTCCGTATGTAGGCACTACCCTACACCTCTGCTTCTACGGGGGGATAGTTGTATGAAGAAGGGATCAACGGTGTAACTGTGCTCGAAGAGTGCTGTGAGAATTGGATGGCCTGCACTGACTGTGAGGCTTGCGAACTGGTAACTAGGACGAGTGAGCGGATCTATTGGGTTGCGAACGCCTGGCTTGTACTCTATCCTGCAGTGAAAATTCTCCTCTATGAACTCCATCCATCTAGCCTGGCGACGACTGAGATGCGGCTGCAACTTGAGAAGGCAAAGCGTGGAATGGTGTGTGTGTATAACACTATCTGTTGTTAACGGGAATGGAGGTGGCCCCGCCCTCGCTTGGGCGACGCTGACGTCCTGGTCGGATGCATGGGAGAAGCAGCCGACCGTTCACGGTAAGGGAGCTGCTTGACGGGCTTCGTCAAGCTACACGGAATCACTGTAGTGTTGCCGTCGACCTGGGGTGCTCGACGGCCTTCTTTTGCGGGGCAGATCGACAAGTTGGTGGTCGACTTGCACAGGACTACAGCGGAGCTGGAGCCGTCGACCAGGGCAGCTCGACGACTGCAGCTGACCAAGCTGGTCGACGGGTGGGCCGTCGATCAGGAGGAGCAGTTCGACGGGGAGGTCGACAGAGCAGCCCGACGACCTAACAAGTGAGCAGCGGTCGACGAGGGGAGCTCGGCAATAACAGCTAACAGTGCTGGTCAACGGACCCCTCCGTCGACCAAGGTGTTGCTTGACGGGAGCTGTGGTCGACCAGAGGCACTTGGTGGTCGACTAGAGCACTTGGTGGTCGACTAGAGACACCTGGTGGTCGACCAGAGCACATGGTGGTGTCCAGGTCGACCAGGTAACCTGCTCGACGAGTTCTGTGGAGGCACGCGAATGTCGTCAAGGTCGCAGTGATGAAGGCGACTTCGGGCTAGTATCCCAAAGTTGATGTGGCTTATCAGGCGCAGACAACACCCGACGGATGCACAACAATGCAAGTCGGGCCGATCGTCTGCGCGCACCTGCAAGCGTGCACACTGCTGTCTCCTATGGGGCAACCCTGCACAGCCGCTCTGCTGCAGCGTTGGCACGCCGTTGACCTACTCTGCTGGCAGGTCGCCCTTCTGCAATGCTGGCACGACTCCTCTACGCAACGCTGGCAGGCGGTCGACCAAGCTGTGCTGGCGGTTGACCAAGCTAGCTGCAGATTTGCTAGGTGCCTGATGTAGTCATTTCTGTCATTCCTTGTTGAATTATTCAGCAATACAACCTAAGCCTAGTAAAGCTCTTGCCGATTTCTCCCGTGAACGTGCAAGCACTAAGGAACTAAGCAAAGTTACGATCACTCCTAGTAGTTCGTGCCAACCCCCACTAGTTTAGCTCACTACCTTGTCGAGTGAATCTCCGCATGGTGCGATACGCGTGGACGGCCCAGCAAATTACATTCAGATAGAAACCTACTTTTGCCCCTACTAAGTCGTTCGTAGGCCGGTAGCTGCGTTACTCGCCATGGTCGACCCTGTAGCTAATGCGGGAGTAGCGGACACCTTGGATGCACACTTGGCTGATGTGCGGAAACGTACTGAGGACGGCGAGTACGGGACGATTCTATGAGCTATCGTCGAGTTTGGCATCCGGGGGCAGTGGGCGATGGAGCACCCTTCCGGTCTTGCATCTCCTTGACCGTTACGAAACGAAGGTGGCGTCGACACGAGTCAGGCGCGGGTGCAGCGGTCCACGGCGACTGCAGACAACCTGCGTGCCAACGTTGATGGTCAACATCGCTCTCTTCTACAAAGCGGTGGAGGCCTCTCGGCGACAACGCACGTGACGGCAGGTGGGATCGGCATATGGCTACTTCAAGTTTTCGCCAGACCGGATCACCGTCCCACCTTTACAAGGTCGACCGGGGAGGTGCTCGGTCGAGCAAGCTACATCGGACGAGTCCTCTGCACCGACCTTCGCCCCTGCTCGACACGGTCGTCGTCGATCGAGATGGTGGCTCTGCGGACGATCGTCTCGGCGACAAAGTCAGCCCTTGATCGGTTGCATGCAAGGCTCGTGCACGTCAGCGTGGACAGGATCAAGAGCCCGGCGAAGCATGA